TGGCCACCCGGAGACAGGCGAGGCGGGCCCGGCGCCCAACACCATGCCCGGCCCGGGCGGCGGCGGCGAGAAGCGGCCCCTAACAGCCGCACCGGCTCCCGGCGGCGGGACCGGAAGTGGCGGGGCGGGGACTCGGCCGCTCTCGCCGGCTGCGGTCTCGACGGCAGCGGGCGCTTTAAAAAAAAAATTCAAAGCCGCTAAGAACTTTATTTGGAGCCTGACATGTGAACAGCGGCAAGCGTCGGCCGGGGCTGGGCTGAGCGGCAGGCCGCTCGGACCTCGCTCATTGGCAGAGGGCGCGGCCGGGGGACGGGCACAGATTTCGCGGCCCTCTCTGATTGGCGAGTAGCGGCCGGGGGGCGGGGGCGGGGCCCCCGCTTTCCCTCCGGATCCTGAACGCCCTAGCTCTGGGGACTCCGCGCCACCTTTCTGCCTCCGTCTTTCGTAGATTGCCGGGTCTGTGGGCTCAGAGGGGCGGCCAGGCCGGAACTGCCAGCCACTGTGAATAGAGCTCCCGCAGTATGTCTAGCACAGTGTCTGGAATCCAAAGGACCGGGCCGGTCCCCGCAGCCTGCAGTGCTGAGGGTGAGGGGACCAACCCCGGTGTGCCTTGCATGGGCCTGCGAGGGAGTGGGAGGACCTACTGTTTTTGTCCTATCACTTTTATTTCTTTACCTCTTAAATATAAAGTACTGTAAAAATGTTTCAAATTGTTCTATTTCCAGCTTGTGAGTTACAAATTCTTCTCGTGTCCAATGTGCCCCTGTAGGATTGTCGATGGGCCGCCCCAGGCAGTAGGGCAAGGCTCCTTGATGAGTGGACCATCTGCAAGATGAGGTTCATCACCAAGATGGAGAAGAAAGAGCCAAGGAGTTTGACTTTCATTTCCAAAAACTCCACTGAAAGGTTTTAAATAGGGGAGTGGCAAGCTTTTGGTCTAAAAGTGCCTTTTGGCTCTGAGTGAGTGGGAGGGAAGCCAGGCAAAAAGATTGGAGTCAGGAAAACCGCTCAAGAACACAGCTCATGTTATTCCCTCTGTTTGGAAATATGGCTGTCCGTGTCGCCCCCGCCGCCACTCCCTTTACTCTGCTCTCACGTTTTCTTAAGTGTAGAGACCATTTTCTCAGAGGCCTCAGTCGGGGGACCGGGGGTGAGGCAGTGCCTTCAGTGAAGTCTTGCACTTGCCCCTTCCCAGTGCCCGATTTTCATTGTCCTTGCCTGTTTCCCTAAGCTCAGTTCCTCAGCCTTCCTCTGCCTTCTTCCTCCATCCTCCTGCTCACCCTCCCCTTCCCATCCTGGGACATGCAGGTGGTCAAAACATATCAGCTGGATAAATATTGAATGAGCTTGTTGCATGAGTCCTGGAGAGAGAAGATAAGGACTTAAGAAGGCACTGGGTGGAGATAAAACTGGCACTTGTCTTACTAATATGGCTTCTACCTTGCCTTCTTTAGGCAACAACACCCCTCTGGGAGGCTCACAGTTAAATCTCTACCCTCCCACATATACACACACAGTGGGCATGTGACCTAAGTCCAGCTAATCTCTACCAGAGAAAGTGAAATTGGGAGTGAAGGGCTGCCAGCTCTCTTTCTGCCCTGGAGTATGAAGATGTGTCTGCAGAATGGGCTGCACCACACTTTGGCCCACACAGGCCCAAATTCCACCATTGTGGGTAAATGAAGTCATGTCTAGTTCCATTTCATGAGGCTGCCTCATTCCTTCATCTAAGACTTGTTTAAGGCTTACTAGTTTATTAACACACTTAAATCCTCACAATAACCCCATGAAACAGGTATCTTATTATCCCCATTTTATGGAAGAGGAAACTGAGACACAGAAATTAAAGTCTGACCAACACAGCAGAGCTGGGATTTGAACCTATGCAGTCTGGCTCAGATTTTTCCACACTGTGACCCTGAGGGGCTAAAATAGCACCCGACTGAAGCTTGTCTTCATCCAGGGCTTCTTCAGAAGCCAAAACTGCACTAGCTTAAACAAAAAGATTCAGAAGACTGGGTGGATTCACAGAAACTAAGGAGGTCAACTCAGGGAAGCTGGGGTCAGTGCTAGGCATGTATTGCCTGCAGGCCTCTCACCTGAGTTTTGGCCTCTGTGAGCTGGCCTTGTCCTCCCAGGTGTCTCTATGGAGCTAGGGCCTGGACTCAGACACATCTTCACACTCCAGGGCAGAGAGAGAGCTGGCAGCCTTTTACTCCCAATTTCACGTTCTCTGGTAGAGACTAGCTGGACTTGGGTCACATGCCCGCTGTGTGTGTATATGTGGGAGGGTAGAGATTTATCTGTGAGCCTCCCAGAGGGGTGTTGTTGCCTAAAGAAGGGAAGGTAGAAGCAATATTCTCCCTGTCCCCTACACCCCTATCCTTTGAAGTTCAACCCCAGGGACTTCCAGCTGGGATATGGAAGGGGAGATACCTCTATCTGTTTTCAGCCAGGCCTATATCCCAGTCTGGTCCAGAGCTCTGGGCTCTGGGTACTCTTCAGCCTGGGGCAGCCTGCCAGCTGATTAATAACACCTGGTACAAGGCCTGGGCACATGCTGGGTTAGGGAAAGATCTCCTAGGATGGAGAAGTGGCCTCTGTCAACATCTTAGTCTACTTAGGCTGCCATAAACACCACAGTCTAGTGGCTTACTAGACATTTTCTCACAGTCTGGAGACTAGAAAGCTCAAGACCAGGGTTCAGCACAGTAGGTTCTATCCTGAGGACTCCTCTTTCATTTAAGGTGCCACCACATCTGGATGTATGCTCACATGGCCTCTCTTTGTGCTTGGGAAGAAAGAGAGAAGAGAGAGAGCTGTCTCTTCTTAGAAGGACACTAATTGCTAGATCAAGGCCCCAACCTTATGGTTTCATTTAACTTTAATTACTTTCTTGGAGGCCCTATTCCCAAATAGAGTCACACTGTGGGTTGGGGCATCAACATATGAATTTTGGAGAAACAGACATTGTGCCCATAACATCCAACAAAGCCCTGGAGGGGCACCTCCCTTAGCCATCCACTCCACTCTTCCCTCCTGCCCTCAGCATGGATGGGGGAGCTCTCCAGTATTCATTCCCCCATTGGAGGAGGAATTCCTGGCTGTAGGTTTCAGTGGAGAATTGGTTTTCAGAGGTAGAATCTGCAGTCTTGGTGAACCAGCATCAGAATCAGGCCCACCAGACACACTGTCCTTCCCCTGGGCAAGACCTTAGCCGTGTTCCAAATGCAAACCTTTGTTGCATGGATTGGAAGACAGCCTGGGAGACACTTGATGGAA